ACTGACTAGGGAACTTGGGAGACGGGATAAGACCCAGAGGCAGAAGTGTCTCTGGAAGCCATTCCACTGCCCCCTGTGAGTCATTCCATACATCTGGAGGCCCGGGCACGGCCCCCATGCAGAGAGAGCCACGTGGCCGGAGTGGGCACAGTCCCGTGTCCCAGGCCAGCCTGGCCCTGGACTTGCTGTGTTGCTTCTCCAGCCTTCTCTGTGATGGCTGCATGTCCTGGGCTCATCATCCTGTCCCTGGGGTTGCTTTTGCATGGTGAGGCTGGTTTATAAGGCCCCAGGTCGGTTAGGGACCCATAAGATACCATAAGGGCTGTAGCTTGGGGCTGTCAGACTACCCAGGATCAAAGGCTGGCTCCATCGTTGCTGTGTGCCACTGGTTAAGGCCCTAACTTCCCTGAGCCTCAGTTTCCCCATGTAGTATAGGGATATGACCTCCCCAGACCCCATATTTGGGAAGTAGCCGAAGGATTTGAATTGGGAGGATGACTCCCATGCTGTCCCCAGAACTGTGCTGGGCCACCTGCTCCCGAGCTCTGGCAAGGTGAGGTGTAAGGACATTGGAACATGACTGGGGGTGCTCGGAATAGGGAGGTGTGGCAAGGTGAGGTGTAAGGACATTGGCAAGGTGAGGTATAAGGACATTGGAACATGACTGGGGGGGGCTCAAGATAGGGAGGCCTGTGGTGGCAGATGGCGTGGAGGGAAGGCTGGGTGTGGACACCCTTCCCCTGGGAGCCTGTGGACTGGGTGAAAGGGAAACGAAGGTGCACGTGGGCCCTTGGACGGTCCCGTGGGATGGCTCGGGGTCTTGAGAGGAGGCTGGTGGGGCAGCAGGTATAGGACACGTCAGGGACACCTCCTTGCTGGGCTCACCACTCCCAGTGTCCTGTCCCCTCTAATATGCCTTCCTGTATGGCATTTTATTAAGGTTCCAATATACCTTGGGTTACCTTGTTTCTACTGCGTAAAGACCCCTGGGGTTCCCTATTATCTCCCAAGCTCTGCCCCATCTGGCCAGCCCACCCTTGGGAGGCTCTCTCAGCAGGCCTGGCCTGAATCCTGCCTCCTCCAAGAAACCACCTAGTGAACATTCATTGAATCAATAAATGAGTGAGCAGAAGCAGGAGCCTCTTTGGCCACAGCTGGTCTCTGTTCGCAGAACATGTGTTGTGCTCGCCCTCCTGGAGCCCCCTTGAAGAGTTTTTCAGTAGGCAGCCTAGTATCCTCGGTCTCTTAACCTTCATTTCCCCCCAAAACTTGTCACCCCCCAGGTGGTCCCTTCCTTCCTGTCCTCGCAGGATTCAGCATGGGCTGGTCCACGGCCACCTCAGCAGTCAGGCGTTGGTCCCTGGCTTCCTGGGAAGGCAGGAGGGTTTCCCCCTTGCTCAGTTCCCAATTTTTCTCCTCGGGCAGAAAAGGACTGGACAGACGAGGACCGGGGCCGAGAGAAGGTGCTGATGCAGGAGCTCATGGCTCTCATCGAGCAGCGCAATGCCATCGTCAACTGCCTGGATGAGGACCGGCAGAGGTGAGGGACGGGGAGGGGCTCCCCCACTCTGGGGAGTTGGGGGGTCCTTGCATGAGGGGCTCAGCTATCCCAGCACACCCTCCCTTAACTTTTGGGAAGGAGTCAGGCTGGAAGGGACTGAGAGAATATCCGGTCCTTTCTCCTGGGGGACACTGGGCTTCCCTTTCTCATTTCAGGGAGGAGGAGGAAGACAAGATGTTGGAAGCCATGATCAGGAGGAAAGGTGAGGCGCCTTCTGGTGCTCTGGTCCACCCGAATTTTGGGAGGCAGCGGGGGCAGAGGGTCAGAGCGGGAGCTCCGGGGATGGTGTGTGCAAGCTCTTGGCCTCTCTCTTCAAGAGAGGGCCATGTGTGGTGAGGCAGGCCAGCCTAGAGCCAGGAGTGCTGTGGCCTGGGCTGAGAGAGTGGGCTAGAGGGAGGGCTCGGTGGGCGAGGAACCCTGTACCAGGGCGGTTGCCTGAAGCCAGGAGTTCCTCCTTGACATCTGCACCTGATCTTGGAGAAGTTTGTGGGCTAGGGGTACCTGGGTGGCTGAGTCAGTGAAACCCCTGACTCTTGGTTTCAGCTCTGGTTATGATCTCATGGTGGTGAGTCGAGCCCTGCATCTGGCTCTGTGCTTAGCGGGGATTCTGCTTGGGGATTCTCTCCCTCTGCCCTTCCCCCCACCCTGGATGCTTGCACATGCTCTCTCTCTCACTCTCACTCTCAAATAAATAAATCTTTTAAAAAAAAAATTTGTGGGCTCAAATAGCCATGCCTACTGGAGATCAGATGGTGCCCAAAACAGCTAAAAGAGCACTGGCCTGGGAGTCAGGAGACCTGCTTTTATCCTGGTCCCACCAGGGACTCATGTTGTGGCCACGTGGTTTGGTCTGGACTCTAGTCGGGCTGCTCGGGCCCCTCGTCTGCCGCACGGGGGTGCTGAGTGTTTAGGGATGGCGCGTGGAAGGCACCTCTCCCCGGGCCTGGCCCCCGCAGAGAGCTCAGCTGGCCTTTAGTCCATTCCAAAGGCCCACAGTCGCCCATAGCTGCCTCGTGAAAACTGGGGGTGAGGCAGATATTTTTGGGGTTCCTTCCAGCTCTGTCAGTGTCCATGTTGTAGCACCCAGAGCTGTGAACAGTGGCCTAGGGAAGCGGGGCCTTTTCACGATAAACCTGTGCCATGCTTCCGAGCTCCAGATTGGTTTCACGGTCGTTTATTTCTGGATCCTTGCCAAAACACCGGGACAGGGGCATAGTCCCTGTCCTGCAGGCTCACAAAGCTGAGGTGACATGTCCAAGACCCCAGATGAGCTGGAGGAACGGAGCTGGACCTTCGTCACTGGCCCCGGCCTGCCCCGACGTACTCCCCATCCCGCACGCCATCCCGCACGCTGAGTGCTCCCCTTTCTCTTCTGCAGAGTTCCAGAAGGAGGCTGAACCCGAGGGCAAGAAGAAGGGGAAGTTCAAGACCATGAAGGTGCTGAAGCTGCTAGGAAACAAGCGGGATACCAAGAGCAAGTCCCCGGGGGACAAGAGCTAACAGCCAGGGCGGCCAGCTGAGACTCCGCTCCTCCTGGCACACACCGCCCTGGGCCGTGCTCCGCTTCGGGGGCACCCTGCTTCCCATCGGGATCAGTCCTGGGGAAAGATGACGTCAGGGGAGGGGGCCTCTGGGTGACAGCCTCTCCCTCCTCAGGGTCCTCTGGCAGGTCTGGGCCAAAGAATTTTCTTCCCTTTTCTCTGGGCTGCAGGCAGCTGTGGGTCAGCCCTGCTCAGTCTGGTTCTGATGATTCCAGATACTGGGATGGACCCAAGGAGCAAGGAGGGCCCTGGGTTCAGGGAGCAGCAGGGGCGTAACACCCCTGCCTTGCGTCCCACCCACCACCTGCCAGGACGGGCTGCCCCCGGGTCCCTCTTCCCCTCTGTACCATGTCCAGATGGGATTCTCAGCAGTCAGAGTTCTGACCCGAAGGTCCTTCCACTCATGCGGTCGGCCCGTGGTGGACCTCTGGCCCAGGTCTCCTGCCTTCAGGGCGCTGCTGCTCTTGGCAGGCCAGCAAGCCTGGCTTGGCCGCACCGGCCTCTCCCACCCCAGCCCTGGCTCCGAGTCCCTATTTTCCTTTCCAGTGCAGGTGGCCCCCCAATCTGTTTCTCCTCACTCAGGAGCTCTATTTATGAAGTCTGATTAAGTTTGAGCTTGTTACTCTGTCCTCAGACACGAATGGGCCTGATGGACAAATTCCTGCCTCTGTCCCTCAGACCTCTGGCAGGTGCTTCTCTCTTCTTCCCTCGGTCCATGGGAAACCTCGCCTCCCAGGAATTGGAGCTGGGGGGGTGCCCCGGAGCTGAGTCCCCAGAGAGGGCCTCTGGGTGACAGGCCCCAGTGGCAGTTCTTGTCCCCAAGTGTCAGCGGAGGGAGCTGTGTGCTTCACGGAACACACCGCAGTCTGACTCCTGCTTCCAACTTGCCGCCGCCCCGGGCTGATCTCGGGTGTGGCCGTCACCTTTCTGTCTCCTCACACCTGACTGTTGTCCATTCTCTCCCAACTTGTTTCCCCAAAGGACTGATGGCCACTCACTGCACTGTGATGGCCATGGGAGAGGAGAAGCTGATGGGGACAACGGGCTTGTGTCCAGCAGCCCTCAGTCACAGCACTGTTGCTATAAGCTATCTCTGGGGCTCTCTGGGGTGCTCTAGGGCCCCCTCCCTCAGCACACCTCTGGGGAAAGTACGCACTGTATTAACTCCTGAGGATTTTCCTCACCAACAATAAATGGAGACAACCTCAGTTGCCAGTGCCTCCAAGCCTTGGGCACTTTGCCCTCAGCTGGCTCTACCTTCTTCCCTGCCTCCGCCATGCCCCGTGGTCAGGTATCTCTGGTCACCTGAGAGGGGCAAGTGGGGTATCCACAGCCAGGGACCTTGGCCACAAGGGCCTGGTGGTGGGCAGGACTCTTCCTCTGCCGGGAGTGGCGGCTCCTGTGCCTGCGCAGCCCCTGGGGTCTCCTTCCAAACATGCCTGTTGATCAGAAGCTGGTCACCAACTCCAAAGACTTTGGGGGCCTGGCGGGTCACATACCTGATGAGGCTGGGTATAACCCGAGGGGTGGCTCTGTCAGGCTGTCTTGGTGTCCGAGACTCAGGTAGTGGGGCCTGAGGTGAACGAGGTTGTCTGTGTCCCAACTCTTAAGGGGCAAGTTCTTCCTTCCTTAAGTCAACCGTAGCCTGTGGGAATGTGGGCCCAGTGTGGCCAGACCTTTCCATTTTTCAAAAGAAGCTGGAAATCCAGATTGTGTGTGTGTGTGATTTGTAAATATTGGCAACTAGTCTGCATTTAAATCAAGGGTAGGCTGTGTTGTCACGGGTGGGCCAAAGGTGTCCTGGGGTTCTCCAGTTTGCTGTCTCGGGGCTACGTGAGAGGGCCTTTGGGGTGGAGGACAGCTGTCCTTATTATGGTATACCCTCTGTGCTCAGGTTCTGGAGGGTACGTGGACACAGGCTTCCCACAGAAACGTTCTGGAGCCAGCCCTTCCTTGAGCTGCCCCTTCCGCTAACCTGTCTGAGGCTGTAGGGCCATGTTTGTTCAGCCACTGGAAACTTGGGTCATGTGGCCTGTAGGATTATACAGATCCCTCCAGATGGAAGTGTTGGTTGAATTTTCCAAACTGTTTTGATGTATGGGGACAGGAAAGTGACAAGAGTCCTGGAGAGTGCAGGGCTTGTGGTTGTCAGAAGACGTGAGGACTTTGTGTGGTCGGGTGCCTCCAAAGGCCTCTGAGGCGGGGCATCGCCCTTGAGCCGTGGGAGCTGAGGCCATGGTCCTGCTCGGGCTCCCAGTGCACAGGCTGGGATCAGAGCTCCCAAGCCAGGCTCCTTTGGTCTAGCTCTCGCCCACCCTTGTGTTTCTGTGGGCTGTGGGGTTCGTGGAAAGCCCGAGAACTAACATCTTATCCTGAATGACCTTGGTGACAGTGTCTTGGGGAGCCTTAGGCTTCACACAGGGAGAGCAAGCCGTCTTTGCACAGTTTTATTGAGAGAATGAACCAAGTGAAATTCAGCCCCTGACACAGTGCCCCGGCCGTGGGGTGTCCGAGAAGTGTTGGTTCTCATTTCCACTTGAGATATACAAACAGCCAAAAGGAATTTGTACTTAAAAAATTCTAACTCCTTAAACAAACAAGCCCATCCTTTTGAAAACAGAATGGTGTATGTCATGACCTATGTTAAATATGTCTTACTGGCCAATTAATCATAGTGGTTAAACATTTGCCTAAGGCTGTGAGAAGTCAGACAAGTAGGTCCTAAGGCAGGTAGGAAGGAAGGAGTGGTATTCATTCCGCAGGTCTGAAAACTGGATGTGGAGGACTCACAGTGGGCATTAGGGGAGGGGGAGGAAGAGGCCTGTTGGATGCCCTCGGACACACGCCCAAGGTGGTGAGATACGGGCCTTGCCTTCACTGTGTATGGGCTCTTTCCCCGAGAAAAGACTCGAAGTTGTATGTGTGTGTGTGTGTGTGTGCATATGTGTGTGTGTCTGTGACTGTGGTCAGCAGCCCAGCTGACCTAGGCCCCCTGGGCAGAGTCTTGAGGAGAACAAGCCCATTCCCTGAGGTTGGTCCATTTTCCAGAGTGCCGTGTGTGCCCAGGGTCCCCTAGGCCAAGGCAGGGCTGCATAGTCATCTGATGTGACTGAAGGCCAGGGTAGGTGGGCTGACTTGGGTGGGGGGTGATGGCTCTGCTTGGCCAGGGGTAGGCTCCAGTGGTCCAGGATGGGCTACCCTGCCCCTGTCTCTGGAGACAGGTCAAGGGGTGACAAGAGCCTTCCTAAGGTCCTCACTCCTCTTGTGGTCAATGTCTTCCATTTCCCGTAGTTTCTGCAAAGGGCATCAGGGAAAGCTGGGGATCAGGGATGGAACTTGAGGAGCCGCTGCTGACGTGAGGCTACAGAAGACTCCCAGAACTGGGCCCGACCTGGGCGCCGGCTGCCTCATCCACTCCCGTCTCCTGCCTTACGCTCATGGTGGGCCCTCCCCCCCCCCCTTCCTGTTGCTTTTCCTACCTGGGAGATCTCAGTGAGGATGATCCCTCGGTACTGTCTGCCTTGTCCCAGAGCCTCCATGCCAGCCAGGAATTCTTTCCTCTCCTGGATTTCCTTTACCACTAGATGGGGGAGAAGGGTTGTCCATGTTCAGGGCAGTAGGGAGCCCACAGGCTCCTGGGACGGGTGGCGGGGGCAGCAGGTTGCCTCTCTCGGGGAGAGGAAGCAGTTCTGGGGTCAGACAGTGTTTCTCACTCTGGCCGCTGAAGACGGGCCCCTCCACGCCCCCCACTCCAGCGTAAGTGGCCCCTCAGAGGCTTACATTCTTCAAAGCGGTCCAGCTCGGGGGCTGAGTCCTCCTGTCGCACGGGAGGGGGCTTTCTTTTCCATTCCTCTGAGTCCTTCCCAGTGGCAAAAATATTTTGGAGTCTTCGCTTCTCTTTGTCCAGATCTCCTGTAGGGCCCAGAAATGGCCTCATTAAGGCAGGCAGGGCACCCCATTCATGGCATGCTTTGCTCCAGGGTCCTTGGCCACACGGAGGGGGCTTCTGCAAACCGGGCGCCTTCCACCCTGGGAGCCCCTGAGCTTGTGTCAAGACAGGCAGGAAGGGGAAGGGCTGGGAGAACGAAGGTCAGAACCCACACACGGCTCTGGTGCAGAGCGAGGCTAAGAAAACCATGCCTGCCGTGACGGCGGCCTGGGCAGAGAGGCTGCGTGGAGTTATATCGGACGCCAAGCAGAAAGGGGGATAAAGGCTCCTCGGAGTAGGCTGGCATGCAGAGGAGCTCTGGATTGGAGCGACTGTGTCACCTTAAGAGAGCAGTGGCCATGAGACCAGACAGCCAAACGTTCCTCAGGGACTGGTAGCCTCCAGGTAATCATTACAGAGTTCTCAGAAAATAAAAAAGGATCACCTAATCGGTTTCCCCTGGACCCTGAACACCCCAAGAGAAGGCGTGCCAAGGCTCAAGCACATTCATATAAACAGCAGAGAATTTCCTTAGACACCTGCTTGCCTGCCCCGTGGGCTGCTTGGCCCTCCGGCCCCCCTCGAGGCCCTCTCACTTACGGGTGGCTTGGGGCTTGAATGGTTCCCGGCTGTAGGCCCCGTTGGCTTGGCACAAGCTGGCAGGCCGGAGGTGGGGCCGGGCCGCCAGGATGGGAGGCAGGTAGATGGCTGAGGCTGGCTGTTTGGAAGGCAAGACCCTCTGGCTGGATGTTGGGCTGCACTGTAGGGGCAGAGTGTCTCCTCCTGGGGAAGGAAGTTTCGGGTGAGGTGCGGGGGGCGGGGATCCCCCTGCGTTGGGTTGGGTTTCGTTTTGTGAAATTATAAAAGTAATACCGCCTGTTATAGCAAGTCGAAGAGTATAGAAGTCTTCCCTTCTGCCCTCCAACCATCCACCCCCACCCCGTAACGAGCAGTTGTTAGAATTTGGTGGTCTTGTTCCAGACTTTCTGACATTAATACAAATATGTTCAAAGATGTATGTGCGTATGTGACCTCCGTGTTTCAAACACTGGCTCCTACTGTGTTACCTTCTGTAAGAGACTCTTAACAAGTTATCATGGACAAACTTCCAGATCACTCCATTTATATATAACTTATTTTTATAGCTATATACTAGTTTCTAGAATGGATACATTATTTATTTTTTTCAACTAGTCTCCTAATTTCAGAAATTCAAGCTGTCCCCCCCCCTTTATTTTACTACTTCAAACCAATGCTGCAATAAACATTCTTGTGCGTCAAGTCTCTATCCTGGTGCATTTATTTCTACAGACGGATTCCTAACACCTGCTTGGTCCACAGGCAGGGAGGGATGGTTTGGGTGGTCATACAAACCAGTCCCTCCTGTCCATCCCCATGGTCTTGGCCCAGGTCTGGGGCTTCTCCCCCAGGCCAGCCAAGTGTGTCACCTCCTTTCTGGTTGTCTGGTCCCTCCTCTCAATCACACCAAAGCCCAGCTCAGAGCACGCCCCACCTGTTGCTTTGATCTGGCTCCCAACTACCTCTTCTACTTTTCTTTCTTTTTTTTTTTTTTAAAGATTTTATTTATTTATTTGTCAGAGAGAGAGAGAGAGAGAGCGAGCGAGCACAGGCAGACAGAGTGGCAGGCAGAGGCAGAGGGAGAAGTGGGCTCCCCACAGAACAAGGAGCCCGATGCGGGACTCGATCCCAGGACGCTGGGATCATGACCTGAGCTGAAGGCAGCTGCTTAACCAACTGAGCCACCCAGGCGTCCCCCTCTTCTACTTTTCCAACCTTCTATCATCCACTCAGCAAAGATGTACTGAGCATCTGCTCTGTGCTAGGCCCTGGACACAGGGGTAAAGTAGTAAAGTAAGATGAAGTCCTGCCCTCGGGGCACTTACATTTGGGGTTGCAGGGACATGGGTGAAACACACAGACTGTGACCGTAGAGGGACGGACCAGACTAGGTCAGAGCGGCATCTACAGTTTTCAATAGGGGAGGCAGGGAAGGCCCCATGAAGAGGCTAACGTTTGAGAGAAGACCCCAGAGATGAGTAGCTCTGCTGTGTAGATACTTGGGGAAGAACATTCTAGACAGAAGGAACAGCTAGGGCAAAGGCTGTGAGGTGGTAATGTGTCTGGAATGTTCGAGCAACAGCCAGGAAGCTAGGGTGGCAGGAATGGAGTAAGCAAGGCGGGGGTATAGTGGGAGTAGAGGTCAGAGGTCAGAGGTCAGGGAGGGCAAGAGAAGCATAGGGCCTTGAAGGCCTCTGGAAAGACTGGCTTTTACTTTGAGGTGGGAAGCCATCAGAGGGTTTTGGGCAGGGAAGTTACATGGTCCTTTGGCTGATGATGAAAATACATGTGGGGGCCAAGGGCGGAGGTGGTCAGAGTCAGGAATGGTTTGGAGGTCAATGGTTTGGAGGCCAAAGCAGATGGATTGGATGTGGGGTCTGGGAGAAAGAGAAAGAGGAGCCAAGGATGGTTCCAGGGTATCTGTCCTGAGGGCCTGGAAGGATGAAGACGCCATTACTTCCCACTAACCTTCCCCTTCCCAGAGCCTCTACCTAAAGCCCCAGCGCGCCTTTCCTACTCTTCTCTGAAGAGATGCTGCACTTCCTAGAATGTCCCTCCTGCTCCCTCCACGTGCTATTTCCACAGGCCCAGGGCCACGTGCTGCCTCCTGCTCGGGCCCAGCCTCAGTAGATGATTACAGCCCAAGTAATTCTGGGAGTTTGGGGGCATTTGTGGCCTGCCACAGCACTCGAATGAAGCCTCAGAACAACAAGTAGGATTTGGTTAAGAGGAGAAAAAAAGGGGATTCCAGAAGAAAGCCAACTCAACACCAATGGTCGGAGGCAAGTTTTTAAAAAAGAAAACTAAGGGGGCACCTGGGTGGTGCAGTTGCCTGAGAGTCTGACTCTTGGTTTTGGTCTCAGGTCATGATCTCAGGGTCTGGGGATCGAGCCCCGTGTCAGGCTCTACACCAAGCGTGGAATCTGCTTGAGATTCTCTCCCTCGGCCCTTCCCCGCACTCTCTCTAAAATAAATAAATAAATCTCTCTAAATAAATAAATAAATACATAAAAATAAAACTTCAGAGAATAAAACTGTCTGGCAAACCTGTTCCTTACCTTGGTTTCTCCACTAATGAAATCAGTCCTTCAGTAAACATCCAGCGTCCTGGGCACTGGGGGTACTGGGGTGAACAAGGACATAGTCCTTCATCTCCTAGAATTTGCTTCTAGTGGAATTTCTAGGTCCTTCTCTTTGTAGTCATGCTGCTGGGGGGCACCAGATTATTCCTGGACTGCTGAGTGCAGAGGTGGGAGTGATGCACTGGGCATGGGTTAACACGCAGGCTCTGACAGCCTGAGCTGTCCTCGTTCTCAGCGAGGAGGCTCTGACCCCCGTGCTGGTGTGGCAGAGCCTGCCTTGGCCACCGCTGGACCTGAACTGCTGATATTTGCCTCCCTGGCCCTCCCTTCCCTTTGCTTCTGTGGCTGCTCCAGTGCCCTCCCATGAGCATGTCTTCTGGCACATAAGGCAATCGCTTCTGGTAGACTCAGAGAAAAGATTCTGACATTCTCTCTCTTCAAGGCCACATCACAGGTCTCTGATCCATTAAATGCTGATTCAGTGGAACCTCAGGAAGCACGGTGGGGTTCAAGATCTTCGTGAGCACCTTGATCTCGTGCCCATGTACTACCATGGTTTGGTTTTCCTTCAAAACAACTAATACGTTGGGTGGCCAAAGGTGAGGTGTGGACAGCCTTTGCACACTCCTCCTATGCTGGAATTCTGCCACGTGTTTTGCTTCTGCTAGCTAAGCTGTGACTGAATAAAACTATGAGTAACACATACACACACAGTTCTTTCCTCTGGAGAGCTCCTGTGGGATGTGTGTAAAGGGGAGGGACAGATGGCAGCCACGACCACGTGGAGACTGTTTTGGCTGGGCAGCATGCCTTGATTGGGCTATGTGATCTCTTGGAAGGCTGGCTAGAGAGAGAAAGACTGCAAGAGGCTTGCTGTTATGCAAGGACCCATGTCCCGGGAAGAAGCTAAAATCCTAAAAGGTCAATTCCCCAGGAGCAAGGGTCAGAAATACTATTCATATATTTTTTGGTCTTTTTATTTTTTATTATTTTTTTAAAGATTAATTTATTGGGGCGCCTGAGTGGCTCAGTGGGTTAAGCCTCTGCCTTTGATTCAGGTCATGATCTCAGGGTCCTGGGATCGGGCCCCGCTTTGGGCTCTCTGCTCAGCAGGAAGTCTGCTTCCCCCTCTCTCTCTGCCTAGTTATGATCTCTCTCTGTCAAATAAATAAATAAAATCTTTTAAAAAATAAGTAAAGATTTATTTATTTATTTTTAGAGAAAGAATGAGAGAGAGAGAGGGAGGGAGGGAGGGAGGGAGCACGCACAGGAGAAGGGGCAGAGGGAGAGAATCCTTCAAGCTGACTACGGTTGAGTGACAGCTGTCATGGGCTCAATCTCACAGCCCATGAGATCATAACCTGAGCCAAAACCAAGAGTTGGATGCTCAACCAACTGAGCCACCCAGGAGCCCTTTCTTTGGTCTTTTAAAATGAGGCCCCCTCAGAGGACATGAACAGACATTTCTGCAAAGAAGACATCCAGATGGCCAACAGACACATGAAAAGGTGCTCCACATCACTCGGCATCAGGGAAATACAAATCAAAACCACAATGAGATACCACCTCACACCAGTCAGAATGGCTAAAATTAACAGGTCAGGAAATGACAGATGCTGGCGAGGATGCGGAGAAAGGGGAACCCTCCTACACTGTTGGTGGGAATGCAAGCTGGTGCAACCACTCTGGAAAACAGCATGGAGGTTCCTCAAAATGTTGAAAATAGAACTACCTTATGACCCAGCAATTGCACTGCTGGGTATTTACCCTAAAGATACAAACGTAGTGATCCGAAGGGGCACGTGCACCCGAATGTTTATAGCAGCAATGTCTACAATAGCCAAAGTATGGAAAGAACCTAGATGTCCATCAACAGACGAATGGATAAAGAAGATGTGGTATATATACACAATGGAATACTATGCAGCCATCAAAAGAAATGAAATCTTGCCATTTGCGACGACGTGGATGGAACTAGAGGGTATCATGCTTAGCGAAATAAGTCAATCGGAGAAAGGCAACTATCATATGATCTCCCTGATATGAGGGAGAGGAGATGCAACATGGGGGGTTAAGGGGGTAGGAGAAGAATAAATGAAACAAGATGGGATTGGGAGGGAGACAAACCATAAGTGACTCTTAATCTCACAAAACAAACTGAGGGTTAATGGGGGGAGGGGGGTTGGGGGGGTGGGATTGTGGACATTGGGGAGGGTATGTGCTATGGTGAGTGCTATGAAGTGTGTAAACCTGGCGATTCACAGACCTGTACCCCTGGGGATAAAAAGATATTATATGTTTAAAAAAATAAAATTAAAAAAAAAAATAAAATAAAATGAGGCCCCCTACCCCTTAGTATGGAAGAGCAGTGAAAGTGTGGTCCGGAGTCCCTCCGCCCAGGAACCCTCAGTGGACTGCCTCTTACTTTTCATGGTGTCCATGATGTGGCGCTGTTGGAAGTTAGTCAGTTTGGATTCCTTCATCATCACTGCAAAGATAAAAGCACCTCTATGAGGCCTCCCGGGCTGCAAGCAGAGCCCTTCATCTCATCCTATGCCAGTGTAAAACTGAATCACCCCCTAACCCCATTCTGTACCTGAGTACTCCTTCTCTCCCTTTCCTGCTTCATTGTCTTTTTCTGGAGCACTTACTACCATCAAAATTCTTGGGGCACGTGGGTGGCTCAGTGGGTTAAGCCTCTGCCTTCAGCTCAGGTCATGGTCTCAGGGTCCTGGGATTAAGCCCTGCGTCGGGCTCTCTGCTCAGCAGGGAGCCTGCTTCCCCCTCCCTCTCTGCCTACCTCTCTGACTACTTGTGATCTCTGTCAAATAAACAAATAAAATCTTAAAAAAAAAGAAATTCTACATATTTTACTTACTGTACCCCTCCTACTAGAAAGTTAGTTCCATGAGACAGCAAGAATGTTTGCTGTTTTTTTTTAACTGCTGTATCCTCAGGACTTAGAGCAATGTCTAAAGCACGTTAAGTGGGTTTAAAATTTGTTGTTGTTGTTGCATGAATGAATGAATGGGTAATATTTACTAAGCATGTGCCAGGGGCTGGAGCTACAGTTGTGAGCCCAAACAGGCATAATCACTGCTCTGATGGAGTTCATGGTCTAGAGCGGTAGATGAATACTAACCCAATGGGAAAGAACTAAACATCTGACAACAGGTTGTGCCATCCATTGAAGGAAAAGGTATTTGGTGTTGTGAAAGGGCGGAGTTGTTGGTTCCACTGTGGTGGTGGCAGGTGGGGAGACTTCCTGGCTTCCTGGGAAAATTCAAAGTGTGGTCTACGGGGTCTACAAGAGTTTTGCAAGTTGTAGGATCCTTGAACCTTTCTGAACCCCAGGCTTTTTATCTATAAAATGACAAAAGCAATTGCTGAGCCGCAGGTCATGTAAAGGAGAACTGAGCTGCAGAGGGTTAACTGTTACCACCACTCTTCTCCTGTCCTTTACAAATACTGACCTCTGAGCAGCTCGCAGGTCCCGGGGGTGTAAGTGGCCGGCCTGGGGCAGCGCCAGAACTCTGTTCCTTTGGTCACCGTCTCCACCCTTTCCTGGGAAGCCATGGGAGGGCTCTGAGGAGAGAAAAACGTAACGGCACAACTCCTGTCTCCCAGGTCCAATCTCTGCTCGCGCAGCCCACAACGCCACCCAAAGTCTGGCGGGGGCAGGGGTGGTGGCTGTCGAGCCACAGGAGAATCGTGACGTCGCCATCAGTATCGCGACAGTGCCTGATCCCCAACCCCGAACAGATACACAGGCAGACCCACACACACGAACGGAGACCTCATCCTGACCCGACGCCTGCGGCAGGGAAGCGGTCTCCGCAGGAACGGGGCGTTAGGATAGCGGTGGTCCGGACAGTGCCCGTCGGGGGATACGCCAAAATTGAAATCTCACCCTAAAGTAAGACCCCGGCTGGCTACCCCCAGCCACAGAGATAGGCTGGGCTCCGGAGACCGTAAACACGGCTCCGCAGCGGCACCGTGCCTGGACCCCGTACAAATACTCGCAGACCTCCGATACCAGAGCCGCCACTAGCGACTCTGGCTACCATGGTAACGGCCACACGGCTCTCGGCGCGTGCGCACAGTTACGGCTCCGGCCTGCCTCCCGGAAGTATTTGTCTCTGGGTCACGGCGCAGGCGTAGAGTACGGGGGGGCACCGCGCGGGAGTCAGGCGCGGTGTTTGCGGGTCTCCGCGAGGGTCTTGAGTGCTGGGCCGCGTCGCGTCGGTGCGGGCGTCATGTCAGACAACGAGGACAAGTGAGTGCGGGAGCTTCGGAAGGGGCGGGTGAAGCGGGAGCTTGGGCCGAAGGAGGCTGTGGAGCCAGTCTCCAGGGGCAGTCTCTGAGGGGACTGCTTGTGCTGAGGGGGCGCGGGGCTGGAGAGGGGAAGGGCGGGGAGCCCGGAATAAAGACCGGGCGAGAGGCTGGGCACGGAAAGGCCCGACTCGAGGGTCTAGAGAGGAGTAGTGAAAAGGACTTACAGCAGACTTTCGGTGAGCCGGGCTGTGTGGTTTGTATTGGGAGTATTGAGGTGAATTAGGCATAGTCCTGCTCACCAGAGAGGGGACAGGCGCAGAAACAGGTAGTACGGGGTCGTGTGGGAGTACGTGCTAGAAGCGTGTAGCCCTGAAGTCATCCAGGGGAGAGTCTGGCGAGCCCCGGGTGTGTGTGTGTGTGAATGTCTGTAAGGGTTGCAGTAATCTCGGTCAAAGAAGGTAGTGGCTTGGACTGGGGTGACACTAGTAGACGTGGTGACAAGTGGGTTTGAATTCTGAATTGATTAAGAAGCTAGGGCGCGAAGATTTCCGGATATGCGTGGTCGGAGGAGAGTCTTCTCTGAAGATAAAAATAGTGGAATCAGGGGTGGATGGGTGGCTCAGTGGGTGAGGGTGAGAGCCTCTGTCTTCAGCTCGGGTCATGGTCCCAGGGTCCTGGGATCGACGCTCCGCATCGGGCTCTCTGCTCGGCGGGGAGCCTGCCTCTCTGCCTACTTGTGATCTCTGCCTGTCAAATAAATAAATAAATAAATAAATAAATAAATAAAATAAAAACGAAATAATAAATAATAATTTATTTTATAATAAAATTTTACAATAAAATAAATAAATAAAATCTTTAAAAAAATAGTGGAATCAGCAGCCTAAGTTTATTAGTCAGAACTAAGAACCAGGTGAGATCACCAGGGGAGTGTCAGTAGGGAAGAGTAGATGGCTGGTGACCCAGGTATTAGAGCATTCTAGCATTGAGTGCTCCTGGTAAAAGAGGGGAAATCAGCAGAGGAGACCGAGATGGAGCAGCCAGTGAGGTGGGGAACCCCAGGAGAGAGAGGAGGCCTTGCAGTCAAATGAGGAGAGTATATTGAGTGGGGGGGGGGGTGTGTGGTCTAGTGGTCCAACTGATAGATCAAGCTAAGTGAGAACAAGAATTGTCGATTGGATTTAGCAGTGTGGCAGTCATTAATGAACTTGAGAAGAGTGGTATTGCTGGAACTGTGGGGGTGAAGGTCTTACTGGAGTGAGATTATGACAGAATGAGAAGAGAGGAATTGGAGACAGGGAAGATAGGCATCTCATGAATTTTGCTTCTAAGAGAAGCATGGAACTAGGACTCTGCGGGAGGTAAAAGAGAAGTACATTTTTTGCTTTTAAAGATTATTTATTTGAGAGAGAGTGAGAGAGAGGTGGGGAAGGGCAGAGAGAGAGAGAATCTTAAGCAGACTCCGTGCTGAGCGCAGAGCTGGACATGGGGTTCCATCCCTCAACCCTGAGATCATGACCTGAACCGAAACCAAGAGTCAGATGCTTAACTGACAGCCATCCAGGGACCCCTGTTTGTTTTTTAAGATGGGGAAATAACTACATGTTTATACGTTCATGGGAATGACCCAGTAGAGAGGGAAACAGTGATGGAGAATGAATGAGCCCTAGCAAAATTTGTGGGCTGATGGAATAAAGATGAAGGAGTAAAATGGAGCAGAAGTTTGATTTGCTCATTAAGTAGTTACTGATTGAGCCCTTTCTACATATCGGATGAGACAAAGATCTCTTCTTTCTTTGATTCTAGTGTGATGCTCCAACTAACTGATCTCTTCTTGTACAGTTTTGATGGTGACGACTTCGATGATGTGGAGGAGGATGAAGGGCTTGGTGACTTGGAGAATGCTGAGGAGGTCAGTGTTTAGCTGTGGGCTCCCTTTCTCTGCAGCCCGAGCTGCCGAATAAGCCATTTGGTGATAATTGCCTGAATGAGTGAGCGGTGTCCCAGTCCTGGGTGGTGGAAAAGTCTAACAGGGTGGGCCATAGCCTATGGCTTTTGGGGCAGTTGGTTTGCTGATGGGTGAAATACTGCCATTCATTCAGCAAGCCTGCTTTGAATGTTTATGTACTAGCTGCCCTGTGGGCAGGGTGTATGTAAGGGGGGGGGGCGGCGAATGACCAGGATAAAGCTGGAGCGGTAAGGGCCCACATCAGGCAGGATTTTCTAGCCTAAAGGCACTGGAAGCCCCTGACAAGTGTTGAGGCAGAGAGTGGTCCAATCCAGTGTACATTTTAGAAAGGGCATTCTGGCCTCAGAGTGACGAGTGAGTTGGGGAGGTCCAGGAGTAAAAGAGACCATTAGCGTCTCTCCATCCAGGTGAGAGACCTGTGGCTTAGGCTTGGGTGCTTGTAATATAGGTGATGACAAAATGGATGAAAGATATTTTGGTGGATTGGATACAGAGCTAAGAAAGTGGGAGATGACAGGGGCGACCCCCAGGTTTCTGGCTTGCATAACTAGGTGGATGGGTTCCTAACTTCATGAAAGACATACAGCTTTCTGTCCTGTGACTAATGGAGGAAGAACTGCTTTATGGCTCCTGGAAAGGGAACGATCCCTCAATTTTTTTAGACTTGGAAGCCAAAGCCCCCCTTTTTGGATTTTCTCTTTCTGCATGGCACTCTGAGCTGCCTGTTCACTGAGTCAGAAACCTCCTCCCCATCCTGGTCTCCCCATCCCTGTTCTGTTGGTTCTGCCTCCCACACGTGGTCCGGCCCTGGTTCTCTTTCTCCATTCTTAGTGCTTCCGCCTTCATTGCTTTCACTCACTTTGTTGTGGAAATGTTTTACTGGTTTTCCTGCCTTCAGTCTCCCTCCACGCTGCTTGATTTGCCATCCTGCTCCCAGAGTTTTCTCTCTTACCTGATTGATCACTGCAGCTGGTCTTCCTATAGGGTCTGCTGCTGCCCTTGCCCCCTACAGAATAGTGTCAACAGAGCATCCGTAGGGATACCTTTAAGTCTTTTTTTTTTTAAGAGTTATTTATTTGAGAGAGAGAGGGTGCGCTCATGTGCACAAGCAGGGAGGAGGGGTAAGGGGTGAGGGAGAAGCAGGCTCCCTGCTGAGTGGGGAGCCCAATGTGGGACTCGATCCTAGGCCCCTGAGATCATGTCCTGAGCCGAAGGCAGGTGCTTAAGCGACTCTGCCACCCAGGCGTCCAGGGATACCTTTAAATCTTAAGTCAAATTGTGTCTCTCCTCTATTCAGAACCCTCATCCAGGGGCTTCCCATCTCATACAGAGTAAGTGCCAAACAGAAGTACAAGGTTCTCCATGCTCTGGCCACCTGCTTTCTCATCTCTTCTTACTGTTCCTGTCATACTAGGTTGACTCCTGCTCAGGATCTTTGATCACCCTGTTCCCTCTTAAAGGAATGCTTTTCCTGTATGTATGTACATGACGTATGGCTCACCTCCCTCAGGCCTTTGTCCAAGTGTCCCCTCGGTGAGGCTTCTGTGACCATCCTATTTAAAGTGGTAGCGTCCTTCCCCTCCTCCCACACACCCATCCTGGCACTCCCTTTTTTCACTTTCTGTTCTTAATTTTACTTATTTTTTTCTTTTGTTTTTATACTACAAATTCTACTTGTTAATTTTGTTACCTCTTCTCATAATGTCAGCTCTATAGGGGAAATAATTTTTTTTGTCTTGCTCTTGTATTTAAAGCACTTAGAACACTATCTGACACACAGGTACTCAATAAATATTTGTTGGCTTAATTTTTTGTTGTTGTTGTTATTTAAAAGTTTCTCTTTATTTTAGTAATCTCTATACCCAGCACAGGACTCAAAGTCCTGACCCTGAGATCAAAAGTCACATGCGCTAACCACTGAACGAGCCAAGGGCCCCTATTTATTATAGAATTTATTCTGCCTAAAACACTATGCTCACCTTTTGCTCTAATCATACTTCCTAAGTAGTACATTCTCTCTGACCCCTGTGCTTTTATGCATGCAGCCCAGCCTGCCAGAAATGCCTTCTCTGCCTCTTGGCTTGGCAGCTCCTCCTCATTCTTCTAGTCTCAAGTCTCCTCTCTGGATGGTCTTCTGAACCCCCAGCACGAGTTCGATGTCCCCCACCTTCTTGTTAACTTCGTGGCACACTTGCCTCCCTTTGTAGCACCTGCTGTCTTGTTTACTCATGTCTCCTCTGCTGGCTGACTTCTTTGAGAACAGAAACGCTTAGCTTGCTGTCTTACCACCATTGTGATGGTGTTTGGCATATGACAGACGCTTAAAGGAATT